TTTATTTAAAAGGAAAAAGAGAAAAAACAAAACAAAACAAAACAGTGTAAGGGTACAAGTAATACAGAACTACAAAAAAAAAAAAAAAAAAAAAAAAAAAAAAAAAAAAAACCAGTAAGAAATCACCAGTTAATAGGTTACACATTATCATCTTAGAGACAGTTGTTCAACTCACAGGATCAAGGCATACAAGGTGGACATTCAAACAGTGAGACTGCAAACAGTTGTGTTCAATGATCCAATCAAAAACATTAATATGGTCATCTGTTTAACACACCTAAACACACTTGCAGTTGTATCCTTTAGAGTGCTTTTTTGTTTCCTCTCTTTATTACAACAAAATTTACACATTTTGGTTTTATTACTCCCATAGTTCTTATTACTTTTTTTTTGGAAGAGAATAAAAACAAATATGACAAAACAAAGCTGTCAGTCACAATCAAGGATAGACATAGCACATGATGTAAAAACAGAGTACAAGGTTATCAACAATGGTAACCATAATGCCTCTTGCTTCCTTAAGAAGAATTGTCTATCTCATTAGGTATTATAAAGTTGGACAAAACAGTAGAGAACAAGACCAATAAAACCTAAACATTGTAAACATTATAGGACTTCAAAAGAGGATAATAGTCAAACCAGAATGGGCATTATAGTGAACCTTATTGCCTTCAAAGTAGTTGCCTATACTCTCAAGTTTGATACTATCATACAGAACGGAACAGAGTCTAATCAGTCAAAACAAGATAGTGGGAGTATTACACGACTTCAAATCAAGTTAATAGGAAATCAAAAAAGTTACCATACTATATCCAGCTATTTTTTTTTATTTTTCCCCTTAATTAAAAAGTAATAAAAAATGATTTTTTTAATGAATAAGGGAGAGATTGAGATAAAAGAGGACATAACAACATAACAACATAACAATACAGGTCAAAGCATGACAGTTTCAGCAACCTAGTGCTTTACCACGAAATAGCCCGACTTAATAGTAGTTACCATAGTATCTTTTTCCTTGAAATATTTGAGTATAACTTTGTATACTATAGCATCAAACATATCATGACAGTGTAAAACCATTCAAGTGGATGAAAGCATTGTAGGATATTTAGAACCAGCTAACAGAAAACGAACAATGGTTTCTATATTATCTCTTTGCCTATAACAATTTTTGTTTATACTATCACATATAATAAAATCCAGCAAGACACAACATGATAAAACCAAGGGAGACAGAAGACCCATAGTTTGCTAGGGCTTCAAAACAAGATGGTATTAAATCAGCACTAACTATTATGATGTCTTGTTTTCTTCAAAATAGCTGTTGATTTCATCATAGGCAACAATATCAAGCAGCCCAGAATAAAGCCATTCCAATTAATAAGTGAAAACTTTATAAGGCTTCAAGGCCATATAATGGGAATCATGATTACCACACACTTTTATATATATTTGAATCATTTCCTACACTAGGGAAACTATTCGGTATTCACACATGCGAGTTTGATTCATTTCACTAATGAATATGGTTTCAAGCTGCGCCCATTTATTGATAAATATCTCAATGTGATCCTTCTTTATAGCTGAGTAGTACTCCATTGGATAGAAATACCACAACTTTTTTATCCATTCCTCAGTTGATAGACACTTGGGTTGTTTCCAAGATCTGGCGATTACAAATTGTGCTGCTATAAACATAGGTGTGCATATATCACTGTGGTATGATGCTTTCAGTTCTTCTGGGAATATGCCTAGAAGTGGAATAGCTGGAATAAATGGGACTTCCAATCCCAGCTTTTTGAGAAATCTCCAGACTGATCTCCACAAAGGTTATACCAGTCTACAATCCCACCAACAGTGTAGGAGAGTTCCCTTTTCCCCACAGCCTCTCCAGCATTTGTTGTTGTTGGTTTTCTTGATCCTGGCTATTCTTTCAGGAGTGAGATGCAATCTCAGTGTGGTTTTAATTTGCATTTCCCTAATGACTAATGATGATGAACATTTTTTCATGTATTTATTTGCCATTTGTATTTCTTCATCTGAGAAGTGTGTATTCATCTCAGATGCCCATTTTTGGATTGGATCTTTGAATTTGGGGGATCTGAGTTTTTTTTTTTTAATTCTTTATATGTTTCAGACAAAAGTCCCTTATCTAAGGGGGAGTTCAGTATGATCTTTTCCCAGTTTGTGGGTTTTCTTTTCACTATGCTGGAGATTTTTTTGACATGCAGAAACTTTTTAATAAGAGGTGGTCCCAGTTATTGATTCTGGGAAGTATTTCCTGTGCGGTTTGAGTCCTGTTCATGAATTCTCTACCTATCCCTATGTCTTCAACGTTTCTACCCAATTTGTCTTCCAATAGATTTAGTGTTTCTGTTTTAATATTCAGATCTTTGATCCATTTTGATTTTAATTTAGTACATGGTGGTAGGCATGGGTCTAGTTTTAGTTTTTGGCAAATGGAGAGCCAGTTTTTCCAACACCATTTATTAAAGAGACTGTCGTTCTTCCAGTGAACTTGCTTGGCTCCTTTATCAAAGATAAGGTGGTTGAGTGTGTTTGTAGTTGTGGTTGTATTTTCTAATCTATTCCATTGATCTTAGGCTCTGTTTTGATTCCAGTACCACGTTGATTTTACTACTGTTACTCTGTAGTATAACTTCAAGTCAGGGATTGTGATGCCTCCTGCCTTGTTTTTGCTGCTTTGAATTCCCTTTGCTATTCTAGGTTTCTTCCGGTTCCAGATGAATTTTGTGAGTGATTTCTCTAGATTTATAAGGTATGTTGATGGTATTTTTATTGAGATTGCATTGAATTTGTATAACAGTTTTGGGAGAATGGCCATTTTCACAATGTTTGTTCTTCCTATTCATGAGCAAGGGATGTCTTTCCATTTTCTGAGATCATCTTCAATTTCTTTTTTCAGTGTATTATAATTTTCCCTGTGTAGGTCTTTCAAACATGCATTATAATTGTTAGCTGATAGAATAAACCATGATACAGGAAAACTGTCCCATTTTAAATACTGCCAAATGATCATTTGTAGTGGACTGAAGCATATACCCAGAAAAATCAATCAAAAAGAACCCACCATGATTGCTAGAGTACAGGAGATTTGGAGTACCTTGAGCAGAACCCCAGGAAGTCACACCTGTTTCCATGATTATTAGAAAGCAGAGCCTACTTCTAAAACCCACCCATTCATCATGTGAAAATTCTGACACTTGAGCCCAGAAAAACGTCTTTCTTTTGGCATCAATGTGAGAGATTCTTAAAGTTATTATTTAATGCAAAGCTATCTTGATATTTGAAATATGAATTGATTTTACCTTTTGTTTGCTTTGTAAACTAATTTATGTATTAGTTCCTTTTTTAAGTGTTAAATAACTCCTAAGTCATACAATAGAAGTAATCTCCAGTAATTCTGTTCAGTTGTTTCCTCTGTTATCATCCTATTCATATTTTCATTTTCTCCAGTCATGTTTACTGATATATGCATTGTAAGAAAAATGCATTAATATTTTTAATTCATTTTATATGCTGGAACTGTGTGAGCAAGTGAGTGAGTGAGTGTGTATGTGTGTGTGTGTTTATGTGGTTATAGCACTGGGTGTACAGTGGGAAACTGTACACACAAAACCTTCAAAAATTTGGAAGTAGTAAAGTTGAGTAAATTACCTGGCAGTTATGATATAACATGGTAATACAACAGATTATTGAATGATATTTTAATACATGTAGTTTTATTTTATAGTAAAGTATGTTGATTACACTATTCTTCTAATCTCTAAGGTGTGTCACATTTTCCTCTGATTTCCATGATTAATTTTGGCAAATGTTGATCATATAGTGAAATGTATCATGAAGTTATTTTTCAATTCTGAGTTTTCAGCTGCTCAATCTGTTTTTAGATATCGTTTGCTTCTTCTTCTTAGTTTTCAGTTGTTTCTATCATATTTTATTTCCTTTTAATATGCTTTCCTTTAACCATTTTCAATCAATGCAGCTTATTTTTTCAAATGACTGGCAGATATTGATGGAGGGTGGACTTTAAAGAATGATTGTTTTTTGGGCCCTGGGCAATGAAATATTGGAGAAACATAAAGTGAGACACGACACAGGATTCTTTTGCCAGTTAATAATCATGTGGTTCTCATCTCATCTTTTTAGAAAGTAGTCTGAGAGACATTTAAAAATGACTGTTTGCATTCTGCACAACTCTTTAGACTGGGCCGTGGATTCTAATTCTGACCCTACTATGTAAGAACAGAATGGCTTTGCTAAGTTTTCTAATCTTCACAGATTTACATTTCACTTTTGTAAAAAGTAAAAAGTAATATTTAGGCAAACTTCCTGTTTCAGTCTCTTAGAATGCTGGAAATTACAGGCATGAGGCACTATGCCTGAGTTAGTCTGGACAACTTAGCAACTTAAACTCTCATTTCAAAATTAAAAGCAAAAACAAAAACAAAAATAAACCCAAGAATGTAGCTCAATGTGAAAAGCCTGCCCACACCTATTAAGCGGGAGAAAAAAAATAAGCTCATGTCTTTTGACACATAATGCATAAGTAAAAACTAAACATTTAGTCTACAAACTCAGGCATCTAATTCTACTTTTCTGAATCAATGACATGACTCATCTCAGCTAGGCAGAAGATTTAATCCCAGCCTGTGTTGGATGTTGCCCCCTGCCAGGTGAGTTCCAGGAATCCTCAGGTCTAACTAACAGCCCTATGGAGGCTATGATGTCCTCACCATCTCCATGGCTGAGGCTGACACAGCTGCTGGCTTCGCTGGTCTCTGGGTTCTGCCTGCCTTGAGCTGCTAGATGTGCTCAGCAGAAGCTGCACAGGGAAGGGGACACTGTCCTTCAGCCCCAGGTTAGGGCCCCTGACTGCCTTCCAGACTCTGGAGACTGCTTCTCTAATTTTGTCTCTCTTTCTCCCCTTTCCTCCCTGAACCCATTGTGCCTCTTTTCTTTCCCCCTCCCCTCCACAGAGCCACTCTCCAGTGAGCTTTGACCTCTACAAAGGACAAAAACTGACATGGAGAGCTGCCAATGTCGTTACTTCAGGAAGAAACCTAGGCAAGGAATTCGTAACAGTCCTTTTATGAACTGAATCAGGTCAAGGAGTCACATATAGAAGAAAGACCTATGGGAAGAATTTAATCACATATCTCAGCACACAGATAATCATGAACCACTCCAAATTCATTTCCTCCTCCATGGGAGGAGTGTGTTTTCTTACCTGGTAGCTTCTGGGCATGGGCAGGTGACAAAGCTTGGCCAACAAAATTGCAGCAGGTGTTGAAGTGTCCTCCAAAAACAGGAGCTCAGAGTCACTGGAAGTCCCCCACATCCACCAGCTGTGGTGGACTCCTGCCCTCCTCCTTGAGAAGGTCACATTGAAGGTCACCTCCCTTCTTTGGAATCTTGAGATGAGAAAACAGGTTAGGCCTTCCTGAACTAACACGTATTTCATAGTGTTAAGGGGATCTTGTTGCCATAAGTCATTCTGGAAGAAGAGAATAGTGAGGAGCTGTAGTGGTCTTGAAGTTCACCCTGCAGACCCTGACATGCTCCTGCTCCCTGGGTAGGGGGTGCTCATCAACCCCCATTCTTATCCCTGGAGTAAACCCTTACAGCATCGTTCTTTGGGCAACAGAATCCAAACTTCAAGTCTCTTTCTTTCCACGAAAAAGCAAATGCAATGTAAAACTACTTTCAGCCACTGGAAATAATGTTTTGGAATTACTTGAAAATATGAGATTTGTGTGCAATGTCTTTTTTAGAGATAACAAGGCAGATGTCAAAATATAAAGTACAATGATTCCAATGTTGAAATTAGAACTAGCTTGTACTTTCTTGGTGTTTGCTTGATTTTCCATATTATATATAATTTTTTTTCCAACAGAAAGTAACACTAAGGATCACTCTGAAGGATGAAACATGAGAAAGCATCCTGGAAGTCAGAGGCTATGTGATAATCTTGGTGCAGACACTGCCGTGACTACAGTTCCTTTTTGAATTGTCAAACATGTTCAGTTTTAAAATCGCTATTTTATGTTGTTACCTTTAATTTTAGGCCATCATTTAAAAACAAATGTGGTTCATAACTTTAACACTCAAATAACCAGAATAAAAGCAGTTGGAGTACTTTGTATGACTCAGATTGTGCACTCCAGTGCTAAAGGCAGTTGGTTGGAGGCTGATCCTCATTTCACAGCCCGGTGGAAGAGCTGGGGAGGACTCTTCCTACCCTGTCAAATGTAAGAAGGAAATTCCCAGGTGGGTGAGCCTGCTTCCATGTCCTCTGGACAGGGGACCAGGAAGCTGGGCAGATGATGTTTTGAGCAAAACCTCCTGGTCTAGGGTGGCTGGAGGCCAGAGCTCCTGTGCAAAGCCTGAAAAGCATCTGTCTCAACCCAGCTGAGTCCTCTACACACAGCATCCGCAGCAGGAGGGTGGTCTTGTCCATCCACATTTGTAAGGCTTTGCTCAGCTACATTCTGGGAATTCCCAAGGGCCAGGTCATTTTAGTTCTTTGCTAATTTAAGGCTTTTTTTCTAGTTTCTCTATGCAGATGGTCTTGATCAGCCTGGGAAAGTGGTTACATAATGGGGCTCCCTTGTGTCTGACCCTGAGGTACAGCCAATACATTTCTGGAAGGCAGGCTCTCTCTCAGGAGCTGGGGGGTGTTTACTTTTCAGGGTTGCGGAATGAGGGTTTCCATAAAGAACATGAGGTTATCAAGCTTGACTTCTGAATCAATAGAGATATAAATAAACAAGCCTGAAGACAAAACAGGAAGAACAAATCCAGTCTTCACTGCAGCAGATACCATCTTCATAAATGTATCTCACATCGAAGCCCAGAATTGCCTAGATCACTCAGAAGTCACAAGTTATTCAGTCCCTCAAAGAATGTTGAGGTACATACCCTCACTGTAGAAACTCATGGTCATGGTTTTTGTCTGTGTCCCCCAGGCCTCATGAGTTTGAACTGTACATTTGTTATTCGTTCAATGTCTAGCGCTTGGATTGATGGTGTCAGTGCTCCACCCACAAAGGGATGGAGCCAGGATGTGATGTAATGGCAGGAAGAAGGTGTCCCTTTCTCTTTGCGGTTCGAGCTTGCTGTTGGTGGCCGCCATGAACTGCAGCCCAGCCAGGCCCGCCTGTCTTGGTTGGAGGCAACTAAGTGTGGACTGAAACCTCCAAAAACTTTAAGAAATAAACCTTTCCTTTCCCAACTTTGGGCTTCAGGTATTTTGTCTCAGCAACGAGCATAAAGTAACTAAGACACTCATCCAGACAGAGAAGAGAAAGGAGGGGCTGGGGTCTCGGAAGCCACCCCAGGGACAGGCAGGACCTCACTGCGAGGGTTAGTCCATGAAGACAACAAGGTTCACGGTAGGGAGCCCACTAATGACGGGCTGAGGGCCAGGCTGGCTGGATGCACACTGCCTTTGCTGTGAGCTCTCGGTTTGTGAATTCAGTGTTGGAAACATGTCAGCCTTGCTCACCTGAAAAGGAGAGATGAAGCAGAGAGAGGATAGAACACTGAGCTCCTGGGACTGGCTGACTATAAAACAGAAGTTCTCCAGCGGGGAAAAAGTGCATTCAGGGTCTAGCATGAAGGACAGACCCCAGTTCTCTTAATGGAAATTCAGAAAAGCCATGATTCTGACACGCACTCTCTGCCTTCGTGCTCTTGCCTACTGTGTATTCCAGCACTTGTAGAGCATTCTTCTCAGGCCAGGTGATAAATTAAACAGAACTGGGACAAAAACGTGGGCACAGTCCACAGCTCAGGCCGAACCCTGGAGAGAAGGTGATCTTGGGAGCATTGTGGCTCCTGGAGCATTTTAGCCGCCTGCATTTCCACATTTACACAACAGTCAGCAGCACGGAGGCACAAGTCCCAATCCAGGAGAAGTTGGAGATGCTCCTCAATTTCTCCCTAAAGAGAAAGCTTTGGCCTAGGACAACCATAGCATTACCTCTGACCTTATGGCTAACATGAGGATGAAGAGAACAAGCCAAGTCTGACTCTACCTCAGCTTCCTCCTTAAAATCTGTGGTACAGCTGGACCACATCTCTGTCCAGTCTTGAACAAGCAGCTCAGTGTCTCTCCTCTGTGTGCCCGAACTTCCTTCCTCCCAGAGCCCTTCCCATCCATCCTGCGATCTCCTCTCCCTTGTGGTGCCCACTTTCACTCATGCTAGAGGAACCTGCTCAGAGCTGTGTCACCCTGGGAAGCCTCCCCTGAACTTCCAGAGAATTCTTAGCCCTGGCTTTTACTCTGCGGCCCCACAGGTCCAGGACAGGCTTCACCCAGCACCTGGATCCCCTTCAGCATGCCCTTCACCGGCTTGTAAGTCCTGCGAGGATGAGAGCATTGCTGTCCTGATCACTACGCCTCAAACCTTAAGTGAAAGGATAAACAGACACAGTGGGTGGTGCTTGACATCTCCGCGTAAGGTGTTTCCTTTGACCTTAACCCTCTAACAGTTTACCCAAGCATCCCTTGGGCAGTGAGTTTGTTTACCTGGTAATAATCCCAATTGTCACTCAAGTGTCATTTCAACCATTCCATTCTTCTTTTCTTTCTTTTTTCCAAGCTTCTCTGCCATGTCTGATTTACTTTTCCTTGCAATTTTGTCCATCATACATGCACATTTATTTCATTTTTTTAAATTTTTTATTTTAAAGAGATTAAGACAAAACAGGATATAACAAAGCAGTTCAGAACAGAACAATGTAAGCAACACAGTATTTCACTAGAAGACAACTAGTAATTAACATACAATAGTATCAAACATAACAAAAAGTATAAAAACATCCAAGAGAGCGAGAGTATTACAGGGCATTCTGAACCAAATTACAGAAAACAAACAATGCCTACTATATTACCTCATTTTCCATAGAAAATTTGTTTATACTTTCACATGTAATACAATCCAATAAGGTACAACATGATAGAATCAATGGAAACAGAAGAGCAAGAGCATGGTAGGACTTCAGAGTAAGATGATATTATATCAGTACTGGCTATTATAATGACTTGTTTCCCTCAAATTAGCTGTTCGTACCATCACAGTTAATAAAATCAAACAAACAAGGACAAACCCATTACAATGAGTGCAGTAATGCACTCATTATAAGGCTCATGAGGATACACTTGTCCGTCTACTTATTTCTTCTAAACCAACTATCTTTGCATGTTTTTTTTAGTTAAGATGTTGAATTTATCTTTTTTTCTTTCATTTACTTTAAAACAAAATATAATAAAAACAAAAAAATAATAAAAATGACAGAATTTCAAAACAAAATAATAGGAGATTAATACTGGGTAATATGTGTTGTTATCTTCAAAGCAGTTATTCAGATTATAAGATATTGGCATTAAAATGATCAAACAATGAAAGTGCAAATGTTTTTGAACTAGCAGAGACTATAAGTATACTTATTCTTTCTAGTGAAATCTAGTAAGTTCTGGTTATATTCTTTTACTAATTCATGTTTATTGTATTTGTAAAAAGTAACTTACAATTTTGTGCCATAATCTATAAAAACTTATGAAAAGGACATTAGAAATAATATTTATACTTCTGCAGAGCTCATTAATACTCTTTTACATTACAAAACAGACACATTTTGGACACAAACTGAATAGGAAGGCAAAAGATTTGCAAAGAAAAAACTGAAAAAGGGAGAAATGTTAGTTTATCCAAAAGGAAAACTCTGTTATGAAGTGGAGTTACAAAGGGATGTCTTCTTAACATCAACTATTCATAAAACAGAAATGATAAAACTTGAAAAATGAAACCAAACTAATAGTGGTCACTAATAGTGGTCAATGATTATAATAATTCTATGGATGGTATCAACAGAGTGGACTAAAATCTAACAAGCTATCCTGCAGTTAAAAAGTGGAAAAATATTACTATAAAATATTGATGCATCTTCTGGACCAAACTCTATGGAACTCATTTGCAAAATGCCAGCCAGAAAGTCCATCACTGATATTTTCATGATTATATTTAATGAGTAGATTGTTTATAGAAATTATAACACTCCCAGAAAAAAAAAAGGCAGCACAACAGTGTGGAGTGTGTTGTTCAAAGAAAGACAGTATTGCAAAAAGAAAGAGACGGATACTGCTGTCCAGATTGCAGTCTTACACTGTGTATGGCAAGTCCTAAGTTATACCATACGCACAGAAATACTATTGAATAAATTTGATAAAGTTCTCATTTTGATATTCCCTGTTATGTTATCTCACAAAAACTAACACAAGTGTGCAGCTTTTGGTTGGCCTCTATTTAAATCATTGGGCTGTTGCGTGGTCAGGCTGAGCTGAGGAGGTAGGGATAAGGGTGAGCAGAGGGAGTAACAGGGTGGGCGTGCTCGTGGTGGGTTGAGAAATGAGGCAAGGATGGCATTGTGGATGTTTGTGATTCCTAGTTGTTCACAGCACTTAGCTGTTGGTAAAAAAAAGTGTACTCAGCTGGGCAGGCTAGTACATATCTATCATCTCAGAACTCAGGAAACAGAGACGGGAGATCACCAAGGGTTCAAGACCAGCCTGGGCTACATAGTAATTTCAAGACCAGCTTGAATTACACAAGGAGATCTTGTCTCTAAAAACAAAACAAAACAAACAAAAAAATTAAATGGTCTCCTGATAATTTTATCAGATATGAAAATATAAAATAACTAAGATCCTGACTTTGTAATATTTGGCTTTAAACCCAGCTGGTTCGTTTAAACATGAATGTAATAACATGTGTGTCTCTTGTGTATGTCATATGTATTATTTATGCTTTTTTATATGAAACAAGTGATTTTGAGCTTCTGCAACACATAAAAACCCTTCTTGAGGCACTGAGACTCCGTTTAACCCCATGAACTGCTGAGATTTTTACAGAGTAACACAGTTGCCAGATTCACTTTTAAGTGCTTCCTATGGATTTTTAAAATATGTGTTCTTTGCTTGGTATCATAGATCTAAGCCATTTAAGAATTTGCATCTACCTATAACTTGCAAATGGAAAGTAGTGCCCAAAGGCATATTTCAGAGCACTGTGTTAGCCTCAATCCCCCTGGCTGTCTTGCCAGGAATGGATGAAATGTATACACCATTATTAGCGGGTATTTTGTCAGCTTCTAAAGATACTTGATGTAATTTGAATCTCACAGCCTGCTCTTTTTGGTAAAGATTATTGTCATCATTGCACAGAAAAGAAGCAGAAAACTTAAGAGGTTAAATCTGCAACAAGTTTTATTGATTTTTTTGGCAGACTGGAGTTCAAATTCAAGGTGACACCTAACTCTGTATATTCTTTCCATTTGGTTTCTAGAATTAAGCACAGAAATTTGAATATTTTCATCCTTGATCCAGAAAATCTGCAAGTACTTGTGTCTATAGGGAAAGCAAAGATTTAGAAAGGAAATGGCTATAAGATATTACCCATGAGCATCAACTCCAAGATCTAGATGATCCCACGTCATTGTCTTCAGAGCCCTGCTCCAGAGCTCCAGAGAATTGTGTGTGTTAGGTAAGAACCACCACACTAGGACTGATGTAGGAGGCTTCCTTACCACCCATACAGCCCTCAGCAACTCGGTTCACCTCTTGTTTTGCACACTGACACCAACAAACCATCACCACTGAACTCAGTGGCTCTAAACCACCTTGTTGCTACAAACTGCCATCATTTCACACCACCTAACATGACTATTGTAAACACTAAGTTTAAGATTTTACTCTCTTTTACATGACTCTTTAGGGCACTCTCAATTCCGCTGGTCAGTGAAGCACTGGGCATCCCTCCATCTTTTGAAGGAAGCACATGCCTGCACTGAAGCTGTTTATAGGCACTGGAGCCAGTTGAACTGCATGGCACTTTTGAAAAATGTACTTCCCTCAAAGGCCTGTCTCTCTCTGAACACAGACATAAACAGATACCTCCTTCTCAGGCAGCAGGAGGTGTTGTTCATGGCCAGCATTTTTTATAGCTGTCACTAAGATTGCTCGTAAGAAATAGATGAGCAGAGAGTGGAGAATTGAATGTTTTGTTTTCACTTTTTCCATTAAAGGGGAAAAGCATCATTTAGTCCATCCGCCGAGCTATAGATCTTTTCCTCGTTGATTTCTCTTGTTGTACATGTATTGATGATGTCAGTGAGAGGCTGACAGACAGCAACGACCAACAGGAAGCAGATGGCCCATAACCATTTCCACTGTGTAGCTGGACCTCATAGAGATCGCCAGAGTAAGTGTCTGGTCCTCAAGATATGAGTTTAGGAACATTTTTGTCATGTAGTCAAATTCAAAACGATTGATATTTTCTCACCAGCCACCCAGGGGATGGGAAATTGTCATGGCGTTTTCCGTTATCTATTGACATTTCTTCCCCACCAAGGCTCCAGATGTGGCACTAACACACCTTGTTAATGGTTAACAAGG